ATATAAAAATAAAAAATGTGTTTAATTTGATATTTTTGGGGAAAAAAATAGGATGAATAATATATTTAAAATCCAATCCCTCGAACAAACACACCCATAATTGTCCATATAAAATACTCCATCCGTCCCTTAACAATCTATCCACTTTTCCATTTTGGTCCGTTTCATTTTTTAGTAATTGTACTATTTACCTAACATTACAAATACCCTTCTAATTTACAATATATTACACAAATGTCATTACTTTTATATCATACAATACTAATATGGTTAATTTAGTCTTTTTACCTTTATTTCTACTTTATCCTAATATAATACTAATATTTCTAAAATTTCGTGTAAAAAGCAAATAGATAGATAGATTGGGGACGGAGGGAGTACTACTTATTATATTCAATAGTTATTTTATTTTAAAATATCAATACTTAAAATATAACAAAAAAAAAAACATATATTTTCTACTAAGGTTGTGTTTGTTTGGGGATTGGATTTTAATCTCACTATCCATTCTATTTTTTCTCCCAAAAAATATCAAATTAAATACTTATTTTTTATTTTTTTATATTATACTAAAAATTAATTTTACATTCAAAATATTACATCAACACCTATTTATATCACATCATCATGCAACTATTCAAATCTCAACTCAAAATCCAAATCCCCAACCAAACACACACTAAGAAAGAAGTTGTTGTTTCTTAATATTATTCTTATTTATTTTCTTAATGGAATTTCAGTAACAAATAATATTAATATATTAGCATTTTAAAAAATGAAAAAGAAATCATTATTAAATAAATTCTAAAAATAACAATAACATAAATCATAAGCAAAACTTTTTTATTTAGAAGTCACCATATTTGGTTACTCACAACACACACGTAATTCTTTTTAAATGTATTTCTAAAATTGTGCTAATTATAAAATTTACTCAAAATAATAAAAAGGGAAATTAATTTATAAGAAAAAAAACATATAATTTTAAAATTAAAAAAAATCTCCCGATAAATTGTCGGCACGGTTTGGACGCTGGCTGTATTATTCGGCGATACGGAGATCGGTGCACCCGACACGTGTCGTTCATCTGTAAGAAATTTTAATTCTCGTGGGACCCATCTAGCTGGCTGTCATTAATTGGCTGTCTTTCCCGTTGCGTGGCGAAGGAGCAATAATCACCTGTGGACAATCCCATTGCACCCGGTCACAATCCCAGCCGTCGTCTTGTTTTGATTGGTCGACTATGATCAATTCTTATAAATTTGTTTGTTTAGTGAAATGATTTGAATTTTTTTATTATTTTTTATATATAAAGTCATAATATAAAATTAATCAATATTTATAATATGTTAAATATTTTAAAAAATATTGTTGGAAAAATGTGTTTTTTATTAGAAGAATATCTACATTTTATTTTTTTAATAAGTCCGCGATAATATGTCTATTCTACCATATATACGAAAATTTAACTAAAATATAATTAGTAAGTAATTAATAAGTGTATTAGTCTAAATAATTATAAATAAAAATAAGATAACTAAATAATTTAATTAAAATTAAAAAAAATTATAAATTTTAAAATTTGATTAAAATGTATAATTATTTTTTCAAAGAAAAAAATAACAAATAACGTAGAACGGACGAAAGTATAAAATATAAATAGTTTATGTAAAACAGAGGGAGTAAAATATATATATATTATATTATGTTAAAATTATTAAATTAAACAATTATTTTAATCAAAATCGTAAATTATAAAATTACCAATGCTAAAATAAACAAACATATTCAAATTAAAAGAGTGGATTTTATTTTATTTTTTTTAATAGTAATTTGAATATACAATATTTATGAAAAATAATACTGTTGATGTAATTTTTCAACAAAAATAAAGTAAAATTCAAAGATATAGAAAATATCCTTAAACTTGATTAATTAGTGCCTGAGATTAGGAATCTCTAAACACCGTATGGTACAGAAAATAAACTGGAAAATAAAAGACTGAAATTTAAAGTGGTGATCCTCAAATCTGACTTTGCTTTGTTGAAGTTGATTGAAGATGCCTTGCCAAATGATGATCCAAATCCTTAAATATTCTTTGAAGAAAACGTTCAGAACCGTCGCACTGTTTCACCAACCGTTCCCACCAGTTACAGAACTCAGAACTGCCTCTTTCATTGACACATGTCTTTAACCGCCTCGCCAACCGCATAACCCACCGACTGACTCTGGATACCTTATTATTATTATTATTATTATTATTTTTTGTGCGTAACAAATACTACGAAATTTTATAGTAAATTATAAAAATTAAATAATAGAAATATTAAAAATAATTGTCAAAAGCACACAGGAAAATTAATTTCTTTTGTATTCAAACAAACTTGCGTAATTTTACCTGACTGTGGGTAGTAGTATATTATTTGAAACATAACCATAAATCATGTGTATCCCTGATTTTATTTCAAATAGGAAAATTTTATTATTTATTTCGTATAATTATCAATAAAATTGTATTACTCATTTCGTCACATAAAATTATGCTTTTTTGATTGGAGACGAATTTAAAAAAAAAAAAAAGAATAAAAATAAAAATATTTATTAAAAAAGAAAACAAAAATAAATTTCAATTACAACTAAAAAATTAAAAATAAATTTAAATGATAGAAAATATATTTTTCACAAAATATCACATTAAATACTGTCTAAATCAAAACTCATATCACATTAAATACTGACTAAATCAAAACTCAGGCCATAATTTTGTTTTAGAGATCATATCCTATATTAATAAAAAATTTCAAATTAGTGATGTGTTAATATATAAAAAGTAATAATGTAATATCAAAATATAATTTTATAAAAGTATATTTATTATACATCATGCAACCAACTCATCTCCACATAATAAAATAATAATAATAATTATTGTTATTATTAATTTAGTGGAGATATTTGTAATGGAATTCATGGACAGTCATTAATAATGAATTAATGACATTTAAGGCAAGCGGTGTCCATTTTGGTTCGGTCAGATGTTTTTATTATTTTTAAAGATTTTTATTGATTTTTGGAAAACAATTGCAATCATTTCAACAATAATATAATCCTTCCTTCTCTTATCGAAATTTATTCTTACTTTCTGTTTTTTTTTGTTGTTATCAAAATTTATTTTTATTTTTTTTTTAGTAAAAAAATACAATATTTCTTTATTAAAAAAAAAGAAAAAAATTTATATTTTTACATATTTTTCTTAAAACTCATATCCTATCAAATGAACACACAATTGGATAACTGAAGGATTACATACAACTAATTATTTCCTGATAATAACAAGACAACTAATCCAACATTTTAAGTAAATACTTTTATTTGTCACTCAAATTTATCCGTTCCATTACAAAGTATCCATTTTTTTTAGTAACTATACTATCTACTTAATATTACAAATAACCTTACAACTTACAATATATTATACAAATGTGATTACCTTTATATCACACATACTAATAAGGTTATTTTAGTCATTTCTACTTTATTCATACTACATCCAAATATAATACTAATATTTCTACAACTACGCTAAAAAATAAATTGATATTTAGTTACGAGACCGAGTTTTTTTTTTTCATTTAACTATATTTAACAAATTTCATGGTATAAAATAACAATATTATTAATACTTCAACATATATCCCAATTAAACCACATACACTATCAACTAAAAAATACTACTACTACTAAAAAAAAAATAAAATAAAATAAAATAAAATTCTACTACTAATTTTCGTGCATAAATATACAACCATTTTTTTTGTATTTTTAAAATAGAGTAATAATTATGAAATGAGTAAAATAATTATATATTTAGTATTTTATTTTACAATTTATTTCACCAAAATTTATCAATATGTTAGTATTTTATTTCGGAGATGCTCTAAGTAATTGAGTTGCATTATTCAATAATAAATAACTTTTTTTATTCCAAGATAATTGATACACAAATAAATAATATTTAATTAGTTAATAATAGTGAATTATAATATTATTTTATTATTTTTAATGTAATTAATAATATTATATTTTTAAAGTAAATTTAATATATATAATTAAAAAATTAAAATATGTAAGAATTTTTAGTGGGTTTATATAATTTATAATGTTATATGTTGTATAGTTAATTAAATTGATTTATATTTATTAAATGAAAATACAAAAGTGTCGATTGTTATGAAACAATAAAAATAAAAAATATGTCAATTATTATAGAACTGAGGGAGTATTTTATTGAATTATTACTTATACAATTATTTTTTATCATTAAATATATTATTATAACACGCATGCTATTTTCATAATTTCATTAAATTTAAGGGTGTGTTATCTTTATTTTTTCTTTTATTCATTTTTAAAAAAATATTAATATATTACACATGTTTATTATTTTTATATTATCTATGATTTTTTTATACTTTACAAAAAAAAAAAAAAAAAAAAAAAACTACACATTCAAATTATCTCATAAAACAAACTCATCCTTTTAACCTTTTTATTCTAAATATTATTTTCTTTATATTCTAAATTAAATATATAATATACTGTGCATAAAAATATAATACAAATTTAAGCGATACTTCCAATATTCATTTATTCAATAGTTTTTATTGTTGCACATTTTTTGGATTTTAACGATATTTTATCACTTGTAATTTTCATTTCTAAACATATTAAATTAAATATATATTAATTAAAAATTAATTTTATATTTAAAATATTATATCAATATTTATTTTAAAAAATATAAATTAACTATTAACTATTAAATTGATATTTTTATTATTTTAAAAAATACAACTAAATTTCCAGACAAACGCATTCTATATAAATTAATATTAATAAAAAAAGAAAATAGAAAAAGGTGCAGAGTAGTTAGGGTGGACCGCGGAGCAGGGGATCAGAGAGAAAGAAGAGAACAGAGGTTAAATTGGGGATCATCGATGGCGATGATGATATGCTCAAGGAACAACATTGTTCATCCTCCTTCCTTCCTTGATTCCCACCGCAATCACCCACTCCTGCCGCCGATCCCCACTCGCCGGACCCGACCGCCGCGATTTCCCTGCCAATCATCCACCTTTCCCGGAGTTTCGAGGGGATCTCGCCGTCGTTGCGGGGAAGCTGGATCTCAGCGGGTTATGCTGTTTCGATTTGGTTACTCAAATGCTTTCCAAGTTTTCCGCCTAGGATCGGCCGAGATCGAGCGACATTTGTCCGCATCAATGCGCCTCTGATTTAAGGCAATTTTCGCGAGGGTTTGGGGGTTTGGGGAATGAATCTGGGGCTTGAACTTGAAGTCGAATCCCCCAACAAATTTTTGTCTGTATTCGCAATTCATTTCCCCTGCGCACAATCCGTTGGTTGCAGTTGCGCATTTGGATTCCCGAAGCTCGTCGTCTTCCTAGAAGCATTTAATTCGGAGTTCGGGAGATCGTTTCGGAACGACGTCGTCTCGGCGGGGAGCAGTTAATTGCGAGTGTGTATGGGCGTTCTGCTGAAATGTGCACCATAAAAGGCTGCGAGGAGACGAACCGGAGGCGGAAGTGGGGGATAATGGGGCTCAAAACTGCGTCGTTCGGCGGATACAAATTGGAGAAGCTGAGGAACGGCGGAATGGTGTCGAGATCGAGGATGAAGCTCTGGATAATTAGGGCAACCACTTCGATTTTGCTCTGGACTTGCATCGTTCAATTGACAGCATTGAGCGAGACTTGGGGGCCGAGAGTGTTGAAAGGCTGGCCGTCGTGCTTCTCCCAGGAGTCCGCCGCGTCCGCCGCCGTCGCGTTGGAACAATCCTCGCCGGAGCTCCATGTTAGGGTTCTTCCGCCCAAAAGTAAGGATTATTAATAACCATCGATTTTCATCTCTGCTTTCGTTTAGAGATCCCCAAATTATTAATGTTAGAGTGCGTTTGAATTCCAGCTTTGGGTATTTGGATGTGTGCTTGCGTGAGAGGTTAATAAATTTCAGGTGATTCTTGCTTTTAGATCATCCTACTCCATAGGAATTTCTCTGTTTAATTCTCAGGAAATTCGAAGAATGTCAGAAATATCGAAAGCTGTGGTGTAGTTTTGTTTTGTCCCGTCGGCCTTACGGCATCTTTAGGATGTGTAATTCATTTATTCAGTGCTTAATTTGATCGATTCGATTCGGCTAGATAACGAGGATGAATGTCTTCGACATTCGAATAGTTTTGTTTTTCTCATTGGTGATCTTAAATGGCTTCGGTAATTATGTCGATGACGTTGTTTGTTTGTTTCGATTAGGGGTTTACAAGAACAACGGGTATCTGATGGTTTCGTGCAATGGAGGGCTTAATCAAATGCGAGCTGCGGTTGGTTATCTTTTGCGTGATTATTCGAATTATTACGTTAGATGTATGAATTTGAGCTGTCTGTCCATTCGGCTAACTTGTCCGATTATTGCGACAGATATGCGACATGGTTGCGATTGCAAGATACTTGAACGTCACATTGGTAGTTCCCGAACTTGACAAGACTTCCTTCTGGAATGATCCTAGGTGTGTTTGTGTTTACCTTTTTGAGTTTTATAAATTCGGAAATCTTTAAAATTTTAAAAAACGTTGTAAAAACTGGATTTTCATGTTCTTACAGCGAGTTCCAGGATATATTCGACGTCGATCATTTTATCACGTCGCTGAGAGACGAAGTTCGGATACTCAAGGAGCTTCCTCCAAGGGTAAAGACGAGAGTTGAGCTCGGAATGTTCTACACGATGGCTCCCGTCAGCTGGTCCGACATCTCCTACTATCACAATCAGGTTTGCAGATTTCGGTCGTCGTTTTTATTCCCGTTCGACGCTATTTCCGGATTACAAATTCGACAATATTCGTTTACAAATTTCCTCGCAGATTCTCCCCCTGATTCAGAAGTATAAAGTCGTCCAATTGAACCGAACCGATACTCGGCTCGCCAACAACGACCAACCCCTCGACATTCAGCGGCTTCGTTGCCGCGTAAACTTCAGCGCATTGAAATTCACTCCTCAAATCGAAGAATTGGGTAAAAAAGTGATCGAAATCTTGCGGCAACGAGGGCCTTTTCTTGTGCTCCATCTCCGATACGAAATGGACATGTTAGCGTTTTCCGGGTGTACTCAAGGCTGCAATAAAGACGAGGTCGATGAATTGACACGAATGAGGTAAAATTTATGCCCAAATCAAATCGACACTTTATAATAATCGTCTGCTGATAAAAGTCGTAAAATCGTAGATATGCATACCCGTGGTGGAAGGAGAAGATCATCGATTCGGATATGAAACGACGGGAAGGCCTCTGCCCTCTTACGCCCGAAGAAACTGCGCTCGTTTTGCGGGCGTTCGATATCGACCGAACCATCCAAATCTACATTGCTGCCGGAGAAATTTACGGCGGACAGAGAAGATTGTCGAGTCTTACGGCGTCGTACCCAAATTTGGTTCGTACGTAAATCCGAAACCGCTATTTTAACGTCGCTGTCGTTTTTAATAACTCTCGATTCTTCGACAGGTGAGGAAGGAGACGCTATTGGACCCATCCGACCTTCGATTTTTCCAAAACCACTCGTCCCAAATGGCGGCTCTCGATTATCTCGTTTCGCTCGAGAGCGATATCTTCGTTCCGACGTATGACGGGAACATGGCTAAAGTCGTTGAAGGGCATCGCAGGTACCACCTCGCTCTCGTCACTATGCTCGATTTTTCGTACAATTTTCGATAACGCTTCTTTTCGCATATGTCATAATTTCAGATATCTTGGATACAAGAAAACGATTCTTCTCGATCGAAAGCTACTCGTCGATCTAATCGACAAGTATAACTCGCAATCTCTATCGTGGGACGAGTTCTCTGCCGCGGTTAAAGACTCGCATGCGAACCGTATGGGAAAATCGACGAAACGATTAACGATCCCCGACAGACCTAAAGAAGAGGATTACTTTTACGCCAACCCCCGCGAGTGTTTGCCGACGCTAAACGAACTTGACCCGATGCCAATAAGTTCGATTTGATGCAGGTTTGGTAAACACTTAAAATTTTTAGTTTTCAAGATGGGTTTCGAGCCGTCATCAACGATCGAAACTTGGAGTTGGAGACGGCGTTTTCAGCTCACGATACGCGACTCGACTCGACTCGACTCGAACAACATCTGCGGCGGCGCAAGAGAGATTTTCGGTACGTCGAAAATGTAACTTGTTTATTATGATTACTGTTATTACATTGTTCTTTGTTTCTTTGATGATCTGAGGAAATAATTCAATTATGTGTATAGAATCGACGACTATTACTATTACTATTACTATTACGACTACCCTTCCATTTTAAAGGGTTTTATTATATAATAGATTTGATCGCCGCCGTGGTCGTCGTAATTTGCAATGTACACAAAAGAGAGATGCAAATATATATAGATTTCTTTCACTAATGTTTTTCATCCTCTGCTTTGTTAAAATTTTTAGCTAATTATTTATTTATTTATTTTAAATGTTACTTTTTAAATTTATTTTTATATATTAGATATGAAAACTGTGTTATAATATAAAAAATATTACTCGAAAATATACATATTTTTATTTTGGGACGTCGTAACTATTTTATTAAATATTTTATTTTATTTTATTTTTCACAAATACTCCTATTATACTAAAATATCTTTACATTGCTTTTACATACCTACTATAATTAAAATACTATTATTTCTTATATTACGTGGGTGTGTATATATTATAATTATTTTACAAAAATTGAACTTCACTATTTTTGTTGATGTATTTAGTTCTCGTTTTTTTCTTTCTATAAATGTTTTATTATGTGATTCTCATAAATTTTCAAAACAATTATACTATTTATTTATTTTTCTAAAAATTATATTAAATGAAAATACAAAATCAAATAGAAACAAAAATGTGTTGTGATGGAAATATTCCTTTTAGTCACTGTGAGAAGTTTTGTTTTATTTTGTCTGCCACAGCTGTTTGCTTGTCTAATAATTTCCATGTGGAATAATAAGAATAATTAGAAGTGAATATTTGATCAATGATTTGGCAATAATTGAAGGGTTTTATCATTAATGCACAACTGTACTATTTGCTTTATACTTGCCATATATGTCGGTTTGTTACTATTTTAGTATATATATATATAATATTATTTAAATCAAAATTTAAATAAAAATTTCTATCTAAAATTAAAATCAAAATCAAAACCAAACAAGCATGTTTGTATTATTAACAAAATTTCTTAAATGTCATCATCACTTGAACAAATCTCACATTTTGGCATATGCAAGTATAGGGCTGGTTTGGTTAGCACTTTGCACTTCAAACTAATATTTTTAATGTCTAATTTTCATTGTTTTAATAAACATATATTATTTTATAAAATATCTCATCAAAATATTATATAAACAAAAATTTAAATAAAATAAAATAAAACTCAAATACAAACCAAACAAACACAATAATATATATATATATTAAAGACATCACTTTCATATTTAAAAATAAGAAATACATCAAATACTAAATATTTTACTATTATTAAAATTTTTCAAAATTTCAAAATTCTTTTCTAAACAAAGCATAATTTGTTTCAACCCTATATATTTAACCAAGATCCAACCCAAACTCCTACAAAAATAAAAATCCAATTTTGTTATTGGTCAAAGACATGGATTTATTAACATATGCTTCCAAAACATTTGAAGTGCATTATATAAATAATTTTATTCTTTTTTATATTTTTCGAATATTTTAATTGTTCGATAGATAGAATTCAGCAAGTAATTCTTTTGTTGATTATTGAATTTTTTTTTAAAAAAAATATTTTTATATCATAATTTTTATTAATTGCACCGTGCGTACTACGTTAGTGTGTATATATATATATATGTATGGCAAGAATTGAAATGTTCTTTTGTAAGAAAAAGAGTTCGTGCAAGAATATGCCAAATATTTAATTGATTAATTTATATATTACTATAATGTAAGTTGGCTACAAATTAAAATTATCAAAAGTGTACAATGTAGAGAAGAGAATAGCCCTATTTATATTCATGAAGTAGATTCCCTAATTCATATATTGAAAGGAACAAAGTTATAATTATTCTCCACCTAAAAATTCTTTGTCATTTAAAAAAGCCCTCAATTATTACCATAATCGAATTCTATAACATATATATATAATATATAATATATATAGTTGTATATATATATATATATATATAGAACCCTATTTTACAAGGAATGATTCCACGTTGTAGCCATCAAAACCCTAATCAAATATCCACCCCCACCCCACCCACCTACCATTTTGTAGGGTGTTTATTTCAAGAATTTATGATGTATATATATGAGGCTTTCTGTTATGTGTTGATAGAGAATTTATCATCGACATAGAAATTTTTTATAGATAATAGTATAAAATTATAACATACAATACATATTTTATAAAATATTAATATGTGACGTCAGTTTTATTTTCACTCAACAATAAATTCAAAGACAATTTCAGAATAATACTACAAAAATATATATATATATATATATCAATATATACATACAATCAACAAATACACTTTGGAATAAATAATTTGTTGATTATAACAATACCAGCATACCGCTCATTAGGGAATCCCAAGAGTATTTTTTTATGAAATTTTGTGCGAAAAAAAAGGTATAAAAATTATTTGAATGATCCAAGAATACATATATAATATCTACAAGGGATACAAAAAATTAAAATTATGCATATCCATGGAGGGTCTTCACATATATATAATTTTATTTATATATATATATATAATTATAAAAAAGAGGGTTGCTTTGTAAATACACCAAAGTAGCAGGTGGCTAAAAAAGAGGTCTTGTGAGTCAATTTCAAAGAAGTCCCTTTTTACCATATTAATACATAAGTAAGAGAAATTAAAATAAAAATAGCAAAACTTGGATTAAAGAAGAATATAAATTATTGTGCTTCTTCTTTGCTTCTAAGTAATATATATGTTTCATTTTATTTATTTATTTATTTATTTTCAATTATATTGATGGCCATGTTTGTACATACTATATATGTATATATATATAAATGTATACTTAATGGTTACAATTAGGATCGCAAATGAATCGAAAAATTGAGATTATTGAATTTGACTCGTCTAGTCTCGAGTTCGAAAGTCCTAAAAAGGTGAAGCCGAGCTCAAATAAAAATTGGAATGCCATAATTTTTATAAGATAAAAGCTACAATAGAATATGTATATATATATACACGGCCGTAACTAGACCCCTTATCATTTTAGTCCCATAAGTGGAGCATGTTGCAAACTAGTCCCATAAGTGAAAAATTTTCGCTGTTTTAGTCCTCTGGTGTCGGAGACACCCGCGTGGCTCGCCGGAGGTGATGTGAGACCTGGCGGACACGTGGATTTTTATTTTTTTTTCATTTTTCTAATTTTTTTTAAAACTTATTTTTAATTTTATTTGTATTTTTTTTATTTGGTCCAATTAAAAAAAATATTTAAAAAAATAAAAAAATAAAAAATAAATCCGCGTATCCGCCAGGTGTCGCTGACCTGGCGGGACACCTGGCGGACACGTCACGCGGGCGTCTCCGGCGCCGGAGGACTAAAATAACGAAGATTGTTCACTTATGTGACTAGTTTGCGACAGGCTCCACTTATGGGACTAAAATGATAAGGGGTCTAGTTACGGGACTTAAAAACAGTTTACCCTCTATATATATATACATATCTATAATACTTATAGTAATAAATTGTAATTTTCCCTATGTACTACGTATTTTTTTGCATAGATTCTAATACAAATAACAATGAATAATCTTGTTTATACTTTCAATAATTTGAATTATGCAATTAATTAACTTATTTTTTTATATTCAATATTTATTTGTTTTTTTATTTAAAATATGGATCTAGAACCTATCCGTTGTATTAAATAGTATAAATTGAGAAGAATTTCACACCCCTAATCTTTCTTGCAAATTCTTTTCAAATTTTAAATAACACACAGAACACCTAAAAACAACTTCAAACAAATGGTTAAGTATAGATTATTATTATTATTATTATATAATTCAATATTGTACCAACAACACATGAAATATAGTTGAACATAATAACATATGAAATATAAGTAAATAACACAAAATTTTATATTAATATAATATACGAACCAATATATAACAATAGTTTATATAATATTCCCTCCGTCCCAAACACCATGCAACATTTCTTTTCTGGTATGTCCCAAACACTCCGCAACATTTTCAAAATAGAAAATGATTAATCTCTAACCCACACTTTATCCCCTCACATCATCCAAATAAAAATATAAAATATATATTTCTCTCTCCATCACATCACCTAATTTCTAAATTATCTTACTTAAATACTACCCACCTAAAAACTGGTGTAAAAAACAAATATTGCACTTTGTTTGGAATAAAAGTAGTACATATTACCATCCATCTTAACACAAAAGATATCCTCGTACTAACACATTGTAAAGTATGAACATTCGGCGCATAATTTAAATTAACACGACATATACTATCAATCTATTATTTATATACTCATTAGGACTAGTAGCTTAGCTTATCCGCATGGGATTCATCAGTCCCAATCAGCATCCTGAGCCCGAATTAATTATAGATTCACATATAGAAGCAAGAATACAAATAAATACATATATAATTATGTTAGCATTATTGCTTTAGAAAACTATCTAAAATTAAGATAGTAAAAAAAAGAAAAAAGAAAAAATAAGACACACACATACACATACACATAAATACATGTACAATGGTTCCTGCAGATGAATTCAGTAAAGAAGAAAGAATGAGGAAGAAGAAGAGCCTTCAAAGTAAATTAAAAATGGAACCACAAAAATAATGAACAAATCTAAAACTTAATTTATTAATTAAAAAAAAAAAAAAAAGAATAAATTTGATCGTTACTATACTTTGTGCCACAGCCACATACACACCTTCACCTTCATTCAGCTGCTTCTGAATCTCTTCAAAGCATTTTCGAGATTTCGATCGCCTTCCGCGGCGGCGCTTACACTTACAGCCACCTTCGAACATTCGTCGTCCTGGAAAATACATGATCAAGGATTAAAATAATTCCAAGTATGGACAGGAATCGCTGATGGATCGATTATTGTTTAATAATTATTAAAAAAATTATTATATCGCGAGAATATCAATTAGAACCTTAGTTGCTGAAGATGGCGAAGAGCGTGCATGGATGGTGTTGCTGCCGTATGGTCTCTTCCCTAAATCGATTTGCACGGAAATGGATGATCGCGACAAATCGACTCCCGAGGTCTGTAGTGCCTTTGTAAGAGTCCTGAGTAACCTGTTTCATGTAACAAAATTCATGATGTCTGAAATGAAACAGAACAGAACAAGAATAGTAGTCGATGATCAAATCAGTATATTTTACCCTTGGGAATAGACACTTGAGATGTTGATTGTGCCGCTTTCGACAGTCGAGTCATTTCCAGCGCCGGAGCAGTCGTTGGCTTTAGGTGATCTGTTCTGCTGAAACTGTGGCTGAGGCAGATGCAGAGGCCATTTCGTCGTTTTATCTGCGTCGGATGTAACCGAGGATCTTCCGAAAGTGAAAATACTCGGCTGCATTCCTGGATGAAGTGGCCTTTCTTTGAATGTTGCAGCAGTATTTATGTTAGAGTCGATCACCAAGTTTCGTCCGTTGGTTGGGATGTTAGCGCTCTTGTTCTTTTCTAGCCTCGGCTCAGTTTTACCACCCTGTGTGTGCTCGGTAAAACCTTCTGCGACGCGGGAGTTCTTCTGCTTACAGCAAGTACACATATGTAACTCAGAATTATACATACATATATATAGATAAGATAGATATAGATATTCATAAGGAGTTTTACCAATTGTGACACCTTTGAAGATTCATGGCTCCATGGACTGTATGGGCTCTCATATCTGTTTACTTTCTCTTGTAAAAAGTGGATGTAATCGATAACCTGCAAGGGGATTGTCGTCGCGGATAAGATGTAGATAATCGAGTTTTAAGATTCTAGATTGGTAGCATAATGTCTGGTTTTTAAGGTACCTCTAATAAGAATGATGCCTTGTCTCTTTTCTGGTCACTGTTAGGTATGATCTCCCTCAGCTTCTGAAATCTGCACCGTAATGAATGTAATCTTAGAATAGAACTTGAGAATATATATATATATATATCTTGGAATGTACATGCCTGTCATTGATCTTGCTCCTCCGACGTTGCTCTGTAGCCGAGTGTTTCGAGCGCGGTGTGCTAGGCTTCTGGTCGATGGTTCTTGATTCGATTTTTACAGACATGTTATTACCTGTGAAACAGATAATGATCATGGTGAAAATTTGAAAACTATGGGAAGGAAAAAAAGTTGTGTATAAAGCAGAATACCTGTTAAATGGGGTGAAAGCTCTTTCTTGATGATCAACCTGTCTTCATGATCGTCGTCCTCGTCGTCTTCTTCTTGTTCACTCTTGGCTGCTGATATTATCATGTCCATGAAGCTTTGGTTGTTCTGAGATGATGACAACCTGTAGATGATGATTGTACATGGTCATTGTTATATATTATTAACGATGAAATCAGAGGCCGATCTAAAATATCTCAACAGTCGTGAATTGCTCGAGAATGAATGATCCAAGTAAATGGATTGGAGTAAGAAGTTAGTTACTGAGAGGATGATAAAGAGCTGAAAGTTGCAGGGGTATGCTTTTGGTGAGAAGACGTATGCAACGTTTTGTCCGGCAAGGGCGTCCATTGCCTTCCCAACACATTCACACCTGCTTCTGCTCACTCAAAATACAGAAATGCATTACAAATTAGTCCAAAGGATGTTTTTGCAGATAAACTTGTGTCTGTGTACTAAAAATCTAGGAACAGGGAAAAAGACATCGATATTTCTATTGAAGAACGAACACATTTTTGAGGATCAAAATGTACCTTGCAGGACATGTCTTTGTGCGGCGATATTCTCCTTCCCTGTCTTTCCCTTTTTGGCAGAAGATTCGTGTTCGTCCCACAGTGTGAAGCCACTTCCTGTGTAGGAACTGCAGTTTGAGTTTTCGTCGTTCCTCGTGGTGCTGCATGCTTGTGCATTAGTACTAAATAAGCTCCCCTCCAGCATTGAAGAAGGCTTTTGATTGAAATAAGAAATGCTGTATGTCCCAAATCCACCAGGAAGAACATGCTCCACTGAGGCTGAGGCAGAAGGGATTGGCACCGGAGGCTTTTCCTCTCCTTCCATTTCGATTCCGCTTGCTGCTTTCGTCGGCATCTCATCCTTCCCTTCTCGTTCCAGTGGCTGTAAGAAGTCGTGTGTTTTCAGCTGGCCACCTGCGGTTCGAAGGATCTCTTGGCAGTTAGTGTTGTGACAAATTATGATTAATGATCAAATAACAAACGAAAATATAATGAAAATAGATTTACATAGTTCACTAACAATGTGTTGACGACGTCAATTCAAATAAACTAACAACGTGTTGACGAATAACAGGTTTATTAAGGACGGCTAGTTTACAAATTACATATTTCATAACTCTAAATCAATTCAAATAAACTAAGATAACACATAAGACGGGTTCAGTCCAAAACGAATTCAAAAGTTCAATAGTGTATACCGTCGTTCCAGGGACTACTCTGCGCCCTGGACCTCAGGCAACGGGGAATTCGCCCCCTTGACCCCCGACTCGCTGACCGGGCAGCGAAACTCCGGGAAAATTCAGGGAAATGATAAATTAGATTCAAGGCATATCAACAGTTATAACCAACATCTTTAAATTGAAATCTTTGTAAGAGGAGAATGAAGTCGAATCAAAATGATCGTTATTCCGTAGTTACGATTTTCAAAAATCGACTATTTTTCTTTAGAATGAAAAACTAAATCGAAACCAAACAAGAATTTTCAATGTTCAAGCTTCCAGATCAAAAATTAAAAACCCAAGTTCAGACTTCAATAATTTCGTTCAACAAAACCAACTCTAACTAATAAAATTTTCATACAGCTCTAACCAGACTTCATGAACACTTACGGACTAATTCTAATCTAGAAATGAAGAGATTGCAGTGCGTTTGTCTGTGGTTACAACTGTGGATGTGTGTGTGTTTAAAATCATTTTTCAGCATCCTCATATCATAATTAAATATTATATCTAACAATTCCTTTTTATTTAACATTTTTAGATCTTATAATAGCGAAAAACATCTCAAATACAAACAAACACACTTTTAGTTCACACAATTCTATTCTATGACCATACTTTTTTTCTTAAAAAACTTACCACATTCAAAAGATCTTATTCAATCAAAACATTTTATTATTCTGTGGAATTCATCATATCAATAGAACATCACATCGTTTCATATAAATTTGCCAAAATATCATTTTCAACATAAATTAGGGGTGGCCCTTTCAACTATATATTTTAATTCTTATATACTAAGGATGTTTTTGGTACAAAATATAAATTGCATAGAAATAATAACATGAAATTAAAATTACAAAGAAAGAAAAACTATATGAAAAATGAAAATTGATTATACTATTTGATAAAACAAAAATTCAATTGTTAGGAATATAGTAGAAAATTAATTATCATTTGTTCTTGTGTATATATGTACAAAAATTACACAAATTATTAATTTAAAAATAAACTAATCAATAAAAAACGTTTGCCATATGACTCTACTATCTGTATGTAGAACTCTTTAATCACTGTCCTCTACTATCTGTATGTAGAACTCTTTAATCACTGTGGATAGTGTGATAGACGGCAGTCAAGAAAAAATTTGAAGAAAAAAATAATAATAATAAAAATTGACTCACAATAAAAAGAATTTGAGATAAATTATGGAGTATTTTTTTCTCCACAAATTCAATTATCTTCATGTTTCATAAATGACAGATGATTAAAAGTACAAGTAAAAAATAAAAAATAAATTATTTCAACTTTCAATTTTCAGTATCAAACAAACAATAAAAATAATTTTATTTCTATTTATTTGTTACTATTTTTCGATACCAAACACTCTAGATTCTATCTAATAGATTTAAAATACAATGATTCTTCAACAGTAAATGTATAGATTATTTGTGCGGACGGAAAGTATTTTTTTTTTTAAAAAAAAAAACCACCACGCCTCAAAAAATATATATATCTAAAAGACACTGACAGAAACAGTTTATTCAGTGATTGGTGAAATTAACAACAATGGGCATCGTGCGCCGACCGCGGCGTCAAGTCGCGCTCGGCGTTAGCCTATCTATACGGAAAAGGCCCACAGCCTCAAAGACAAAGGCCCAGATCTACCATTCGCCGATGGGGTCACGGGGCACATTAACTGCGCCACTCGTGGGTAGCCAGCCACCCATCGGATATTTCATCTTCCCCACCCACAATCATGCCAAAATTACCAAACCTCACAACACTCCAAATTTCACACAATTTTTATCTCCAGATGCATCAATTGTATAAGGAATCATGTAAATCTAGAGTAACTACGAAGTTATGGACTTAATGACCAGTCAATTAATGAAAATTGTTTTTGTATGGTGTTCTTCCGTGTGGTAGAACATCATATCAAAATTCCGAGGCAAATTAACCAATCTCATATCAGTTGAGAATCAGTAGAATTAACTATTCACGGCTTCAATTAATTGTGTATGATTATGTGTGTGAACTGTGAGCAGCACTGCATGAAGGGAATATGAAGAAATATTTACCTTGCGGAGGCGGTGGATCTTGCGGAGCATGTGAAGAAGACGGTGAGTATAAGGAGAGGAAATCATGAGTTGCCTTTCTACCTGTTGAAGAAATTCATATAATACGAATGAATCGAGAATCTTTTTTAGTTGCTTCGTTTGTGTGCATCGGTGATGTGGTTTTTTGGATGAATTGATGTGACTTACCTTCGGTTCCAAGAGGCAATTCCATGTAAATCTCCACCGTCCAATTCTCAATCCGATGAATTCCAGAACGTAAAAAACAGAGTGAATTTGGACAAATCTATTGCGCTGGAGATGAGAGCTTTGAAATCCGAATCAGATCCGCCTCCAACACGAAGATCGGAAGCGCATTAGTTACTGAATTCCTCACGAACAAGCTCGCAGATGTTCTAGAATCGCCGCAAAAGACTTTGACGAGATTTCAGTTCAACGACCAACGGTTACAATTACAAAGCACAAACTTAACCACCTCTATTTCACAGCTCCGCCGCAAAATCTGCAATTCCAAATTCAACCAAATTAGGCATAATTCAACTGCGATTGCACAATTTTTTCCAATCGGAAGATTTCTAGACCGAAATTCTCAAAGAAGTAGATACCAAAAAACCTAAAATCCACAAAAATAAAAAAAGGAGAAAAAAATCCAGAGATGGAAAAATCTGGAGACGAAAAGACGCACACATGCTTACAGTACAGATTACAGAATCGGATTGAAACTGAATAAAGCACAATTCAGCTCCAGATTCTTCAGAAAATCGAAGCGTGAAACAAAAGTGATCCAAACAGTGACTTTCACAGGATTAGTGGTAGGTCCAGCTCGATTCAACACAATTTCAAAACGCCGCCCACCATAGCCACTCCTAAAAATATCACAACCAAAATCAACACGAAAAGTAGGAATTGCCGGAGAAGACAGAGACGAAGACGTGCCTTACTTTCACAAAACTCTCACACACTCTCTCTCTCTCTCTCTAAAAAAATGGCTAAATCTTCTTCCCCTCCCTACATACAACATATACACAGACCTATACATACAGATACATATATACATACAGTGAGAGAGGGAAAGACAGTTGGGTCTTCGTTTTCGTTTTTCCGAATAAGCAAATAGGCTATGGCTAGTATATAAACTTAACGCCGTTACGTCGTCCGTTTATTAACGCCGTTTGGCAGCTCACTGTCACGTACGGCCATTGGTCGGGAAAATATTTATATAAAAAATTTTAAAGGGATTTTTGGCGATCCCAATTAAAATTATTTATTTATTCAAAGCTAAATCTTGTGGGAATCCGAGCCCAATTAATTTCACTTAATATGAAATTAAAAATAAATATTATTTGGGGTGTGTTTGTTTGGGGATTGGATTTGATTTTTATTATTCATTCCTTTTTTTTTTCAAAAATATCAAATCAAACATCTCATTTTTATTTTTATATTATACTAAAAATCAATTTTACATTCAAAATATCACATCATACAACTATTCAAATTCAAAATTTTTACTGTCAAATCTCAACTCAAAATCCAAATCCAAATTTATTTTTATTTTTATTTTTTTCATTTAAATTTATTTTTATTTTTTTAATAAAAAAATACTACCGTCCCACTTTAAAAAGTCTTATTTATTTATTTATTTATTTTATATTTATTTTTAAATATTAATTATTATATCAAAAATCTCAAACCTTAAGACTTTTATTTTTTTATTTGTTCCAAATTTACTGCAATATTTTTAAATTTAAAAATAATTAATTATGTTTATTTATATAAATATTCAATTCACTTTATCTCATCACATCACTCAAATAAAAAAAATATATATTTCTCTCTCCAATCACATGATTTAATCTCCAAAGTATCTCGAATTACTTTACTTAATACTACTCACCTAAATTTGGGTATCAAATTCATATGTTGCACTGTTTGGGACGGAAGGAGTACAAATTAAGAAAAATTACAAAATTACTTTCATTAATATTTTATCATGATAACATAATGACATTTATAAAAAAAAAAAATTATGTAAATATAAAAATATTTTTAATATTAATTACAATGATAAAAATATTAATATATATATATAATCCTTAAAAAAATAAACGAAAATATTACTATTTTTCTCTATTTTTTAATATCAATATCAATTCAAATAAGAACACAATGGAACTACGGAGAAAATAAATAAACAAGTGAAATTTTACATAGACAGGTAAGTGAAACTTGTTGAGTGCACGTGCAAGTGGGCACGCGAGGACAACATCCTCGGAATTCGCGACGCAGAAACTGCCGCACTGTAAATGTGTGGTTGGATGTGGCACGTCACGTGACTGAGTAAACGACTGCTTAACCCCGTTGACCTTAGGAGTAAAATTATCTTCATTAAATGAATTAATTTAGTTAATTTTCTGTAAAAGATCATTACCGCACAGATCCCAATCCCCAAATTATCCCTTTGGATAAAATTCCGGTTCCTGTCGGCGACTGACGGTGTAACTGCACGCTACTGTATCGGCTTAACCGCACCGAGATCCACTTATGTTAGTAATTTTTTATTTTCTGAAATTAATAAATTTAGATATAAAGTTATTGAGATTATTATTGTATTGTAATTGTATGGGCAGGGGTGGTTGTTGGTAGAAAAGGAAGAAACGTCACGTGGAGGAAGCGCTTTTGAGTGTAACTTGACGTTACCTTTTAGAGTTGCACTGTACCGGGAAACGCGGGGCCTCACTCACTCACATGCTCCTGCACTCTCTTCCTTTCAACATCTTCATTTATTTTTATTTTCTAATTTACTATTTTACCCTCTTTTATATATATATATAAATATATATCTTGAAATAATTAAAAGAAAAAACAATAATAAAATTATTTAATATATTATGTAAAAAATAATAATATCTTGATATATCAAAAATTTTGATACAGTACAATAACAATATAGAAATTGACATTTTTTTATATATATTGAACACCAAAATACTATATCCGTCCAAGAAGTATAGTATTCTTGTGTTAGATACGAGATTTAAGGAATATTGATATTATATTGGTAGTCGGTAAAAAGTAAGGATAAATGACTTCTTTTTTTTAATCTTTGTGAGTATATTAATGTAAAAAATAGTGGCAATTGTGAAATAATAATGAAAAAATATGAATAGTTTTATGATGACATGGTTATTTATGGAAATAAGACTATTATTTTGGGACGAAAAAAAATGGTAAACAAGACTATTATATTGGGACGGAGGGAGCATTTCGAAATTTTGGAATATAGCGAAAATACTGAAATATCATTTTAATATTTTTGTACTCGTAATATCTATATATACCGATATTGCACCGATAATTTAGTAGATCATTTTTTGGTACGATATTGATATATATTTATCATACTGAATTTTTGGTATAATATCGATATATTTTTTAACTTATTAAATATGGTATTATCAATATTTACGATAATTGTATTGCACTATCTCTACATATACACATAGAGTATGTTTGTTTGGGAGTTTGGATTTTGAATTGATATTTGGATAGTAGTATTATGTGATATAAATAAGTATTGATATAATATTTTGAAAGTAAAATTAACTTTTAAAATAATATAAAAAATAAAAAAAAAAAGTGTTTGATTTGATATATTTTAGGGAAAAAATTGTGTGAATAGTGCAAATCCTTTCGAATGCTTCAAAACAAACATACTATCTCCGTCCCGGTACAAGGTTGTCGTTTACTTTTTGCACGTAGATTTTTTAATAATAGTATTATAATGAGTTGTAGTGAAAAAGACGAAAATACCCCTATTAGTATTATGTAATAAAAAAGTGATGGCATTTGTGTAATATAGTGTAAGTTGGAAGGGTATTTATTATATTAAGTAGATAGTACAATTACTAAATTAGAAAATGGTAACTTAAAAATTAAGAACTTGATGTGGAGGGGGGGAGGTCCGGTGAAAATACAAAACAAACAATTTTGGTCCAATTATAAATAATTTTAATCATTTTCTTGTCAAATTTTGGGGCTGGTGTAAAGGAGCGGGAAAGTCTTAGGTCGCGCTTAGATACAACACATAGTGGAAATGAAATTTAGGATTAGAGAAATTAAAAGAAAATGGTGTGCAATTGAAGAAGAAGAAGAGGATAATGAAACGCAACGAAAGCAAGAATACAATGGAGAGAACCTCCAAAGCGATGTAGAGAGAATATCCGGGCATTTCTGTTTCATTCTTAGAATTGAATTGTTGTCGATCCCTGAAATTGAAGGCATAATTAACTTCTTTATTTGTTTTGTATTTTCAATTTATATTGATGGTGAGAAATTTCATTTTTAGAGTACGTATGAATTGATGTTTGAGATTGAATTGATGAGACTTGGTTTTGTCAAATTTGGTGTTCATTGATGTTGGGTATTCTTAATTATTATAATTAACGAGTTTAGAAATGTTAAATTGATATTTTTGGACACATATTAGTTTGAGATTTTATAGTTATATTGAAGATTGACACCTAATCTCTCAATTGGTGTAGCAACTAGAAGAAGAATACGTTATGAATGAATTAAAATCAATTTTAAACAAATCCTCGTAAGAATTTTGTTAAATTGAATTAGGTCTTTCTAATCTTTAATGTTGTCGAGTCAGTAATACTACGGTCGTACTTATGATTCTCACTCGATTAGGAAAATAGCTAACGGACGTACTTATGATTCTCACTCGATTAGAAAAACAGCTAACGGTCGTACCTTAATTAGATATCGAAAAAGTATGAAAATCTTGGTTGTGAACGCGTGTAGATCAACTATAACTAATTTATCCAACTAGTCAATGAACTTGATTTTTAATTGATAAACAAACTTCATATCCTGAAGAGAAAATTTATATATATGCTAGAGTTTAATCATTTTTGGTAAATCGATCATCTGCATTTTAGTTTAATTTATTTAATTAGGTGGATTTTATTTTTCTCTAGTATAATTATATTCAACAAAGTATTCAAATCGATACTGTTTCTCTGCAGTGACGATCTTACTCAGTAACATTACTGCATTTTATATATTTATGTGACGTAAAAACTAATATTTTATTTTGTAACTGTACAACAAACTTGCATTCTTCTATAGGTGTTACCTCATAGGAAGACTTAGATTGTTAGCGTCACAGTAAACTGCGATTTGAGCCTACCCAAAATCTTCTAGATATGTTGCTTAATTTATATCACTAACTTTTATTTTCTTTCGATTATTATTATTATTCTAATTTTATTTATATTGTTATCCGCTAAATTTTCTTTGTGAGAATTTGTGACCGTAAGAACAACCCAACGAGTTTGTCTTGGTTGAATTTTCAACATAATTAAAAATATATGGTGGAAAGCAAAACAAACAAATATAGCATACTCTCATTAAAAATTTCAGGTGTAAAAAAAATAAATAAAAGACAGATAATAGACCCCAAAAATATAATACTAGACAATTCAATGCCCTAATTAGTAATTATTTTAATTAGAAGAATCTCGTGATTAGCCAATAATGAATATTTAAAAATTTTAAGAAAAGTCATAATAATAAAAGAAAGCATGCTGAATAAACAGTTAGATTGTTTATAAATCTCCGACAATCGAGCTGCGCTTTCACATTAACAGCCCCATTTTAATGTGTTTTTTTAATAATAATAATAAAATCAAAGTTCGAATAAAAACCAAACACATCCAAAGTCAGGCCACGATGTTAAAGGGTGTATTATCATTATTATTATTATTGTTATTATTATTATTATTATTATTAGTTTCTAATAAGTGTTGATATTTTTATCTTTTGATTCTATATATAAAGTAATTGGATATGTAACTGTATATTTGTAATTTAAATAAAAGTTGAGAGTATTTTAGTATTAATATATGATTATTTTTTAAATAAAAAAATACTAATATTTATAAGTAGAACATACAAAAATAGAAAAAATATAACTTTTAATTGGGATTAAAGAAAGTATATTTTCATCGAAAAACATATAACTGAAATATTCATACATTCCTCCCATAAAAACACTATAATTTATTTTTTTTTGTTATTATATTTAACATTAAAAATATCTTTTA